TCTTGATTAAGCTTCACATATTTAAATCCTTCCATATTTTGGTAGACTGCTCACTTACTCATCCTCCCTGCTTAAAGTGTCACTACACCCAAACGACAAAAGTATTAAAGTGACACTAAACTCAGGAATTACATTTTACAAATGCCGTCACGTACCCTAACTATTAAGAAAAATGTATCTTATTTGTGTATCACTCGGCTGTAGATCATCAAATCTCCGAATTGCTGCTGACACTGTCCTTCCTTCTGGAGGGGGGGCTGCTTTTGTTCCCCATGGTCCCTGTGTACGTTGTAGTGTAGAAACCGCTCCAAGCTCACCCCCATGATGGACTACAATCTCAATACAAATTAGTAAACTAAACATGAGATTGTAGTCCATTAAAGGAGTGAGCTTGGAGCGGTGGCTACTTTATAACACACACAGGGACCATGGGGAACAAACGTAGTCACCCTCCAGAAGGAAGGACAGTGTCAGCACCAATTCCGAGATGATTTGATGATCTACAGCTGAGTGATACACAAATAAGATACATTTTTGTAATTGTTCGGGCTTGTTCACACCGAATTGCGTGTGTTCCAGAGCGGTAGCTGCTGGAACGCTCCACAATCCCTCACAAAACCTCCCCCTGCGTTCTGGGGCGTGAGGGAGCGTGGCGGTGCATTTAATTCAATGGCACTACTTCAAAGCTCAATTGGCGATTGGACGCGTGCCAAAACTTTGCCTGCGTTCCGTTCCACTGCAAACGCAAAAAAATGCTGCATGCTCTAAAACAGCAACACACAGCAACAAAACAGCAACACACAGCAACAAAACAGCAACACACACTGATAAGTTAAAGTGGATCTTCAATGAAAATGGAAGGTTTGCTCTAATAAAAGCACTCCCTGCCCCCACCAAAAGTCAAATCGTCTGCAAAGGCTATTAAAAGAGAACTATGGCCAAACCTTTTTTGGCGTTCATACTCTTCAGGGTCACACTAGTATATTTGCTAGGGATGCACAGATACCGTTTTTTCTGTATCAAGTACCAATAGCAGTACTTCTGCTAGCATGAAGACGTCTTCAGGGCAATCAGGAAGCTGGGCGGCGAGTCATTACCCGCCGCCTCCATGATGTTTGGCCCTCTCGATGCTGATTGGCTGGGAAGCCAGCTTCCTAGCCAATCAGCATGGAGCTGGCTTCCCAGCCAATCAGGGAGTCATTACCTGCCTCCCGGCTTCCTGATTGGGGAAGCCGGTCCATGTTACCTCGTGGCACTGCTGGTCAGAGGAAATCTTCCTCTGATTGGAAGTTCCAGTATTGGGGAATGTATCGGAGCATTTAGGCGAGTACGAGTATACTGCAAAATTAGATCACCCGCTACCAAACACAGAAACACACGCTTGGTGAAAAGATTTGGGAAGAAGGCATGTGACTTTGCTTGGGTGGTTGCCCCTTTGGCTGCTGTTACCTACTCTTCATTCCCCCACTGCCGTGTTCACCCACCATAGCTCTGTGAAATACCTCACACTTCCATGTATGCAGGAGCCTAAAACTTTCCCCCCAGCATTCCTTGATGCAGGGCCAAAACCGCCGGGGGGGGTTTTTGGGGTGGGGGGCACCTGTGAGTAAATGGGGCAGCAGGAAGAGCCAGTACCAGCAGTGGATGGGGTGAGATATCAAGTGTACGTTTGCTTTAAATAAAATATTTTAAATGAAAAACATCAGAGATTTCTATGGACAGGACTGAAGAAAAATGGCAATGTACCAAATATAACACCATATAGCAAACATTCAGGATTCAATGTTTATTAATCTCTTGCAATTTGCACACGACTATTGTTATATGTGCTTTGTCTTACTGGATGAATAAAATAGTTAAAGCCCAGTTGAAGTTTCCCTTTAAAGTCGGAACAGTAAGTAGTCAATGCTTCACCTTTTGTTATCTTTTAAAATCAGCCACAATGGCAGGAGAAAAGCCGGTCCCCCCTGTAATAGGTTGTAGATCAAGACCACTCCACTCTGTGCCACATCAGAGGTCCAAAACGTCCCCTGCCCTAGAACTGTACTAGAATTGCAACTGTGCACCCAGCAATGTGTTCACCTTGTGTGCTTAGAAGAATGAGCATTGCTGATTGTAAGCATGGAGATCCAAGGCAGGAAACATGTCAGACCACAGCAGATAGACCACTCATTTTCCAAAGAGGAAAGTGGTCTTCATCTGCAGCCTACTACAGGGGTACAGGCTTTTAAACGGGCTCTGTGGCTGCTTTAGAGGAAAAACTAAAACAAAAGGTGAGACATTGAGAAGGTAATGTGTGGCTCACCTCGAGTTTATATATCAACTTAATATGCCAAGGGAAATTTGATTTGGGCTTTTAAAGTGATATTAAAAGGCAAAAGGATTTTAAGCCATTTTAAAAGCCGATTAAATCCCTAACAATGGTTGCTGCTCCTTTATGTGTAAAAGTTTTAGCTTTCTGCAGAACCAGCTGGTTCCCTGAGCACCGATCCCGATATTGTGTTTCAGGGTGGCTCCTTTCCCTTGAATGTTCCTATGGAGCAGAACTTGTGTGTGCTACCAAGCTGTCTGTCTCCATAAGGACACAGGGAAAGCAGGGCAATCCACTCCCCCCTGCTTCAAGCTAGCAAATGGATTGTTGCTGGAGACTGCTCTGTCCCTTGTAATCTTGTACTGGACAGATAGTTCAGGGAAGCTTAACCTCCCTGGCAGTCTGATTATCTCAGAATTTTTTCTTTTTTTTTTTTTCTCTATTTTTTTTACTTTTGAATTTTCCGCCGATTCCGTCCCCCTGCGACGCGGGTGCTTGCAGGGAAGGAACTCAGAAGACGGATGCCGACATCGGCCAGAGGACACAGCAGGGCTTGTAGGGACAAGGTAAGTGACGCTACAGTGTAATCCCGAGTGTGGCAGGATTAGCGCCAAGAAGGTTAAAGTGAAATGAAAAGAAAATCCCAAATTTTGGGCCGTCACCAGAACCGGAATTGATAGGAAATCTTTCAAGGGGGACACAAGTTCTGGTGACCCTGCTGACCACCAGTAATCTTCCTCGAAGGATTTACTCACTTCCTGTTGTGGCTATTCGACAGGAAACAGGGACGTGCGGTCAGGCGAGGCAGCTGACAGCTTTTTCTCCATTCAGATTGGCATCTAACAGGTTACACAGCAGGGAAAGCCTCCCTACTATGTAACCTGTCACGGAGCCTCAGCGGTGAGGAACAAATGAGGGACAGAGAGGCTCCTCCCCGTCTCCTTTACACTAGCTTGGGAATGGGCTTCACCCGGCAGGAGGCAATGTTTCGGCCGACGTGGGCAGGGCTGGGGAATGCCTCGCCCTCAGCAAGAGGTACTGCACATCACTGACAGGAAATGAAGAGAAAACTCCAATGGGACACAGATGGCAAAAAGGCTGATGGGGTAAAAACCCTCCCTTACGATATCCAAAACTTTAAAAAAAAAAAAAGTTTGGGCTTCAGTACTTTAAAGAGGAACTTTACCCATATCTTTAAAATGGCAACAAAACACATATTTAGAAATGTTTAGTAATGACAATCTACAGACAGTTGCAGCTTTTTTGCATGCAGAGCCGCATGCTGTGATTTTAATAAAAGGGGGTAAAGGTCCACTTTAAATGAGAACTATGGGGTTAGGGCTTTTCCCCATAGTTCTCCTTAGGGTAACGGGAGGACACAAACTAGCGTCCTCCCGTCACCCTAAGCTCAGTATACCGCGAGCTACAGCATTACCTAGCATTAGAATTCAGCAAATGTGTGCAGTTTTTAGCCTGAAAGCAGGAAGTCACCAACAATTAAAAATCAAATCTACTTAGCGATATAGATCTAAAAAGGCACCGAGATGACGACGAAAGGATTCACACACAAAAGGCAGCCACCTGCTAGTACCAATATTGACAATTACTGTAAATTGAGTTCTTTGTTTTTAGCTTGCTAGTTTTGAATGCCTGTAACAGTACATTCATTTGTGGAAACTATGTAATTAATTATAATTGAACATACTAGCATGTACATTGATCAGTCATAACTTTAAGACCACATACCCAATATTGGGTCGTTCCCCGTTTTCCTGCTAAAACAGCCCTGACTAGTGTGAGGCATGAACGCCACTAGACCTCTGAAGGTATGCCATGGTGTCCGACACCAAGCTGTCAGTAGCGGTTCCCTTATGTCCTGTCAGTTGTGAAGAGGGGACTCCATGGATAGGACTTATTTTTCCAGCACATCCCACAGATGCTTGGTTGGATTGCGGTAAAGAGAATTTGGAGGCCAAGTCAACACCTCAAACTCGTTGTGTTTCTCAAACCAATTTTGCAGTGTGGCAGGGCTCATTAACCTGCTAAAAGTGCCCATTGCCATCAGGGAATACCTGAGGCACGGTGTGTTCAGACAGCTCTCTATCGGAACAAGTATTAACTTTTTCAGCAATTTGAGCTACAGTATTTCTATTAGATCGGACTACACGGGCCAGCATTTGCTCCTCATTGCATCAATTAGTCTTGGTCGCCCATGACCCTTTCACCGGTTTTCCTTCCTTGGAAGACTTTCGGTAGGTCCTGATCCCTGCAGACTGGGAACAACCCACAAGAGTTGCTCTGACCATCACAGTCGTCTAGCCATCACAATTTGGCCCTTATCAAAGTAATTCAAATCCTTATGCTTGTCCATTTGTTTTGCTTCTAACACATCAACTTCAGGGACAAAATGTTCACTTGATGCCTAATATATCCCACCCACTTCCAGGTGTCATTGTAATGATATAATCAATGTTATTCACTTCACCTCTCGGTGGTCATAATGTTATGGCTGATCAGTGTAAATTCTGACCAAAATAACATACAAGTAATGAGATGTATGAACGCAGGTTATTCAATATCTTAGGTTTTCGAAAAAATTGTAAGTATTTGTGGAAGCAAATACAGCTAATGTAAGAAATGAAAACATTTTTATTGCAGTACAGAAACAAAAAAACAGAAACAGCCTTACCTGGACCAAGTAGTGGGGATCGATTCTGCTGGGCACTTGACTGATGAGGTGGCTGAGGTTCAACCAAACTGGTATTTGAGGGAGTGATTGGGGTGGCGTTGCTGTTAGCTGAGGGAATAGTCTGAACTATAGTGCTGTTCCTATCCCACATGTTTACAGTTTTGCTCTGGTGTATGTTCGGGTCTCCCCAAGCTGAGGTACCATCATCGATTTCCATTTTTCGGCGAACGGACGGTGGTGAAGGTTCTTCCCAACCACTGGGCTCAGAGTTTATGTCCTTCTGTTTAGCTGGCGGAGGCGATGGCATTGGTGCTCCACTCCACCCCGATCCAGTCTGCTTTACAGATGTGGCTCCTCCCCAACCACTCACATCTTGGGGTTTGTTGGCCCAGTTTTGCTGAGGAGATTTCAAAGGTTCCCCCCAACCTGTACCCGAATTAGCCTTGGTGCTTGTGCCATTGCCCCACCCACTGGTCCCAGGCCGTGAATTATCATTCCACCCTGTTGCAGACTTTCCATCAGTGTCCCACCCTGCTCCATTTTTCTTTCCATCAGTAATATGTGCTGGAACAGGTGGCATATCAGTCCAGTCTCCACCACCCGATGTCCAGCTTGTATTCGATTTCTGACCATCTACCCAGCCTTGGGGTTTGGGTTTATGAGACTCGCTCCATGTAGGAGATTTCTCCTCCTGATTAGCAGACCCGCTCCAAGCGTGACCACTTTTGGCAGCAGCATTGACAACAGTAGAGCTTGCAGGATCTCCCCATCCTCCTGGACCATTTGGCGCTTTATTTTCCACCCAGCCTGCATTAACAGAAGCAGATATAGGTTGGGAGTTGGCCCATCCCGATACTGAAGAGGTATTTGTACTGTTCATGATGGACCCTTCACTCTTCCCCCCTGAGTTTGAAGGCTGAGAGTTTGTACCTCCCCAAGCTTCTGTCCCAATATTTTTTTTTTCAGGCCTCTTAAATTCATCAAATTCCCATGCTATGTTTTGTTTAACTGGAACCTGTCCCCAACCTGTGTTGGAGATGACCCTTGGATCAAGGTCTTGTCTTGGCAATTGCATCTGCCCCTGATCTGCCATTCCCTTCTCCCCATGCTGATTTTCACTCCCTCGTCCTTCATTTGGATTTCCAGCATTGTCATTACTTCTGTCAATAGATGATGCAGATTTGGCCCTAGAATTAATTTGATCACTTCCCTGCTGTGGAGAATTCTGAATGGTAATACTAGAACTGTCCCACCCTGTTGACCCTTTTCCACTGATGTCATTACTGGAATGCTGGTTTTGAGACTTTCCCCATTCACCATTCATGCCGTTGCTTGTGCCACGACTTGGCTGACCCCAAGGTCCAGAATGCATATTTCCACCATTGCTTCTACCCCTACCCCAAGCTAAGACTCCTGGACTGGTAGGTGGTCCTGATTCCCATGCATTCATCACAGTTCCATCTTTTTGCCCTCCATTTTGTTTAGCACTTACAGCTGTACTACAAGTATCTCCAGTTTCCTGGCTGAACCCAGAACTGCTGTTTCCAGGAGCAGGACCACCAGGCGATAAACCCCACAATGAACTGCCCGTGCTGTCACCAACCCCACTGACTTGAGAAACTGAACCATTAGCACCAGGAAGGCTTTGCAGGTGGGGTGGGATGATGCTCCCCATTCCAACAGCCATTCCCCAGTTGGGCAGTCCATTTGTCTGCATTGCATTAATGGGGTTTGGTGAAGAATTCATGGGGTTAGTGTTATTTGGTCCATCAGTGTTAAGGTTCTGAGGTTGTATGCTGAAAGACACATTCTGAGAAGTGGACGTTTGTGGTTCTGTGCTCTCTTGTGACTGCAAATTTCTCCAAGCACCTAAGGTACCTGCAGCATTTCCATTCTGGTTGCCTATATTCTGGCCTATGGCACTGACTGGACCACAGATGTTGGAAGGATTACCTCCATTCAAAGTTCCTTCATGTCCAAGGACAGGCCAGGCAGCTGGGTTGGCATTAGGGTTAAGATTAATGCCAGCATTTGAGTTGGAAGCACCCCAGCAGTTCTGACTCCTACTCTCTCCAATCATACTGTCCACCTTTCCATCACCACTACTGGAGGAGCAGTGAGCAGTGCCAGAGCTGGAGCCTGAAGGTGCACCCCAAACTCTGGATAAGTTTCCATTTCCATTTGCTCCACCAGCTCCAAGGACACTCTGGTTAGAAGTGCTTTGGACGAGTGCTCCATTGGTGCCATTATTGCCATTCAATTTCTTTGTATGTCCAGTGAAGGTGCCTTGGGCACTCGTTGTAGCCATGCTACTTTTCTCTGAGCCACAGTTGGAGGCGGAATCAGTGTCTGTAGTACATTCTGAGGCAGATTCAGTCTCAGTTCCTGTAATGGAAGGCCACGCTTCCTTGTCAGTCCTGTTTATTATCACTTTATCCCAGCTATAACTGGTTTCACCTCGGATAGTAGGCTGCGGTCCCCAATAGGAATTTTCATAATGGTCTCCGAGACCACTAAAACCGAGATCTAAAAGGGAGAAAAAAATAAAATTAAAATAAATCATGTTAACATGTCTGCATATAAGAAGAGAAACACGTGTACGGGAAAAAGGGAAAAACAGAACCGCACTAAACTTCCTTGGCAGATCAACATCTATCAGATACACTTCCTATATTATCTATAACAGTCTATACTTTCCTGTTCATTGTTGTCTAAATTCCTATTTCAATAGGCGATAAGCTACTCTACCTATAATTTGATGAATAGAAACTTGTGTATCGCACAATCTGCATGATAAATCAGATAAATCTGACAGTGCTAAGAATGGTCACAAATGTGGTACAGGCCCATTCAATTATTGAACATTACCATATGACCCAGTAGTTAAACAAGAGTATTTTGTTAGAATTTATCTCAGGATGCTACAAATTACAAAGAGTTCTTAATAGTAGATTCAACAGATTCCAATATTTAATGCAATAATATAGAATAAGGATTTTAATCAAGGAATTCTGCACCTGATCATCAATCCAAACTTTGGTGGGGAGGCAAATGTTATACCCCAAATATGCCCTGTTCACTAACCTCCAAATGTCAACACCAGAATATTTACAGAAACCACCATAGATATATCAAATAAAAAACTTACAGTGGAATGAACACGCATATAAACTACCTAACTCAGCTCTACAGACCTACAATCCCCCCCCCCCCCAAAAAAAATATATAATACAATGTGCAAGATCGCTGCAGCCTTGAATTTAATATACAATTCAATATTTTTTTTATGTAACGCATGTTGTGTGTCTGCAGCACCTTTCTTATTATTATATAGTTGAATGAAGTTACATTTTTAGGAAGCTTATAATTAGGGATGCACCGATACTTTGAGTACCAGTGCAGATACTTGGCATTTTCATGAGAAATAGCAGGGTTGCAGCTGGGACCTGGCTCTGGTGCTCCACCACTGTCCTGAAATCATTAGTCGATATTATTTTAGAAAAACTGTCACATGACAATAAACAAAAACAGAACTCGTACTTGTAAGTACTTGGGTAAGTACCAGTACTCGCAAAACTGGTATCGGTGCATCCCTTATATATATTTATAAAAAACAAAAATCATACATTAAAACAGAGATGTACAAATCCCAGGAGCTCCGTGTGCTCCTTACAAATGACAGCTGCCTCCTAACTTGTGAATTTTTCTCTAGTCTAGTCTTGGAGCTGGAAAAGTATCTGTACTTGTACCGAGTATGGTACTTGGTATCGGTGCATCCCTACTTATAATAGAAAGTGAGAAGTGAAGATTGAGCAAGTTAAGTAGGCCAATATACACACATGATTTACATGCAGTCTAGTCCAGGGTTCATGCATGAGAGCATTTGTTTTTTTTCTTCTATTTTCCAGCACTTATATACAAATTCAATCGCAAACTCCAAAGTTAAATCAAGGATACCAGCATGCCCACATTTTCTTGTTGATCCCCTCTCCCTGTGATGCTTTTAGCTGTACTATATAACGAAATCAGCAAACAAACATGCGGCTTGGAACAGTGTTATTTCCTTCAACATATGTTAACAGATTAGGTGAATTAACATGCGTTAAGCGCACATACACAAAAGTGAAGAAACAGTATGCATTGCTTACACTGCGAATAGTGTTTATTGACACAAAAAATGGATGTTACAGCAGATCTTTCTCTACATTATTATTGTAATACAGGATTTATATAGCACCAACAGTTTGCACAGTGCTTTACAATATAAGGAAGACATTACGGTTACAAGACAAGATGGTAAGGAGGGCCCTGACTGTGAGGGATTATTAGATGTGAATGAGCTCTAGAACTTTGAAAATGTGTTTGTTTTATCAGTGTTCACACCCACCATCGGATTACACTGCACGTAGCAGTAAAAGGTTTTATATGCGGACACATAAAAAATGGTGAAGACATCTCTTTAAACTTTACATCCTAAAATGCATCTGTTTAAATACTTGCAAACGTGTCACTGAATGTTAACAGTTGTTGGATTTTGTTTCACGAGAAGGGGGGAAAAAAAAACCTGCTAGAAGTTACACATGAATGCCGTGGACAAAAGTCTTTAAATGTATTTCTTTTCATAAAATCAGTGTATCTTATAAAGTCATAAATGAGGTAAGCGACAACATTTGGCTCTCGGAACCGTCATGTAAACACTTCACGAAGGATACTTCATAAGTGACATTTGAAAGAACTCCGAAGGCCGCTATAAAGGATCAAGGTAATTACTAAGCAAAAAATAAAAATCAAATGCGAGGTTTTCGTTCTTCACACTCTCCCATGACTTGGAATAAAAATAGAAGTTGACAGACTCGCAAAGTATGGGAAGTTTTCAGCGGCGAGTTCCTAGCTAAATTAAAAACAAAGCCGCAGACTGCAGCCCATGTGATTTGCATGGGAAACATCACAACAAGCTTGCGAAGTCCTACTTCATGCAGTGAACAATCTCTTGGGTTTATTTCTGGTTTTTCCCTGTGCCTGAGAGGAAAGGAGCTCAGGCTGTGACGACGCCATTTTCTAAAGCCTGAACTGAAGCCAAAAAAAGCTCTGAACGCGCTGCCTCGGAGAGACATTATGTAATATGAAGATTTAAAGCAAAGCTAAAGCGATTTGCTAACGATATTTTTTAGGCCTCGGGAAAAAGGACTGGAGGAGTGTCGGGGAGGGCTGACGGGGAGTGAAATACCTGAGAAAAGGTGACGCCCAACCATCCTAGGAAACGCTACATTGTGTGCAGAGCTGCCTCTCTCTGCATCTAGGCTTTCAGCTTCAGAATGTTGTTTGTGCAAAGCGTACGTCTCATCTTGCAGCTCTGCCAAGAAAACCTCTATGCAAGACGGTGACCGGACAACCTGCAAGCTCATTTGGGCCTTTTGCTGCACTGGATTTGGAAATGCCCTTACAGCACAGGGAGGATCCCCCTTCTCTCCCCCCTTGCTCTCTCTTCCACAGTCCCTCCTCCCACCCCCCCAGATCGGGTGAAGGTATCAACAGCCTCAGACTCTTTAGGCTTTGGTTATGTAATTGCATCTGACACTAAACCGATCTTCCTTCCTTTTAAATTCTTTCAACTGTCACAAAACATTCTCACTTGAAGACCCTGTTACAATTAACTCCAGAGCTGCTTTTCTTCCCCGCTTTGAAAGTCAGCCAAAACAACAGGGGCAGGCTGACGATCAGCTACATGCTAACGTGTTTCTGGCTTGGCTTCATCCCCCCCCCCAGTACGGTCCCCAATCCCCCCTTCTTCATATGCTTCCCTTCGAAAACAGCCCCAGAGTCAGACATACCAACCGTAGCTTTAAATTCAGAACAAGGCCCACATGCATACGCACACTGGCTGGTCGCCAACCACTTGCTTCCCATCCTCCATCTCAGACCCATACACAAGAACATTCATCAAAGCAACGGTTGTTTATACATGTGCAGAAGAGAATACAAAAACACAACACAACACAGATGAGGGAGTTTCAACAACCGAGCCGGAAGTGCAACTGCCTATGACTGCAATGTGGTACAGCCATCGTACAAAACGCAACTTTAATATAAAAAATAAATGTATATGTTATTATTTACTATGTTAATATAATATACTATAAATAATAATAATAATATATATGCACTATAATATAAAACTATATTATTTATACATATTTGCAGAGGCAGCGGGGACAAAGACCACTTCCGCCAGCACCAGCAGGGAGGAGAGAGTGCTGTGACTGCTTCCCCCTGCTGCCCCCCCCATACTTCCGCTGCTGCCCCATTACTCCTATCCCCCCTTGCCTCCACGGCTGCCCGATTCCCTCTCTGCCCCCTGTGCCTCAGCTGCCCACCCCCATGCCTCCACTCCATCTAGCTGCTGGAAGCAATAGCCAGCCTACTATTGGATATTTTAAAATGTAATAGCCAATAGCAGGCTGGTTATTGCACCCGCCCACTGTCTGCTGTCAATCAGCAGAAGAGGACCTCATAGAGAACTTTCTCCTTCAGGTCCCTCCTCTGTTGATTGACAGCAGGCAGTGGGCGGGTGCAATAGCCAGCCTGTTTTTGGCTATTGCAATTTGAAATATCCAATAGCAGGCTGGCTTTATGTATTGCATTTTAAATTAAGGCATTAATTTTTTTTTTAAATGTATCCGAATAATTGAAAAAAAAAAAAAAAAGACAAAAAAGCCTCAGTCATGAAGAGGTAAATGTAGGCTACTCATTAGGAAAGCTCCACTAGGGAAATCGGGGCCGGAAAAAAAATTGGGAGTCCTAGCAGATCACAGACTTGGCAATAGCATGCAACTCCAAGCTACAGCTAACAAAGCTAGAAGACTGCGATCACGCATAAAAAAAATGGTTTTTAATCTAGAGACGAATCTAGAATTCTACCACTTTACAAAACAATGGTTCAGCCTCATCTTGAGTATGTGGTTCAATTTTGGGCACCAACAGACAGGACGGTTGTCCCTGAACATAACAGAGTCCAGAGAAGGGCAACAAAATGAATAAGGGGGCTGGAGGACCTAGGCTATGAGGAAAGATTGCAATTTGCACTTATTCACGCTGGGGAAGAGGCGCTTAAGAGGGGATAGGATCGCAATGTACAAATTGTTGAACTGTGGCAGTAGAATCGGTAACAAACTGTTTACTTTACGGTCCTAAAGAAGACAAGAGACCACCACCTTAGATTGGAGGAAAAGAAGTTTAATCTCACCCTGCTTAAGGGATTCTTTACTATTAGAGCAGTAGAAAATTATGGAACTCTCTTCCCCAGGTGGTGGTGTCAGCTGAGAGTTGACTCATTCAAAAAACATCTAGATGTCTTCCTCAGGGAATAAAAAAAAGGGGGTATTGGAATTCTAAGAGACTCCTACACATGCACACAGCTATAGGTTGAACTGGATGGGCCCGAGTCTTTATTTAACCTAAAAACTAGAGGTGCACCAAAATAAAAAAAATTGTCAGGCCGAAATCGAAAATGTTTTTATTTTAATTTT